AATTGAGTTTTGACTGAAAATAACATCAGCGATCGCCTACAGCCAATGAGAGAGCGGCATTCACTTGTGTGTGTGTGTGTGTGTGTGTGTGTATACCTGCTGCAGGCCAGCAGGAGGCTGGGGGAGAAGTTAACAGCGCTCTTTTTCGGTTTATTTGGACCCACGAAATGGAGGAAAAACTAGTGGAGGTTTGACAGGACTCAGGAGCAACCGTGTCTGTTTGACGTTTCATACAGAAAGAAATTAGTTTATTATCAACTTAAGTTGAGGAGAAATGGCTAATTCCCTTTAAACCCAGGTGAGCAAACATGTACATGTTCTACCCCATTAAAGGCTTCTTTCTCATTATGTAGTAAATAAAAGATAACCGACGTGTTTTTGGCTGTGAGACGTAGTTTGGACGAAGTTGTCGGCGATTCTTCCTATAGTAAAGTCATGCAATGTGAATGTCCCTGCCGCCGATCCATCTTGCAGTGTAAACAAAGCAGCGACGAAACGCAAGCCCAGATAGTCATGCAGTGTGAAAACATCTGTGACACGACGACTTTGAAAATCATGCAGTCTGAACTCGGCATAAGATGGTGTCTTTGAAAGTTCATACTGTGTGATTGTCACTCACGTGAACGAGCAGCGATTTGCCTGTGATTTCAGGCATTTGTCAGCGATTTCTCAAAACCTGTCGGCGAGCCAAAACCGGGGCTAAAATCACACAGTCTGAACTAGGCATTACTTTAATTTTTGCCTTGTTTTTTGTCCAAATATCTACAAATTCTTAAACCAAGAGATAATTTCTAGACAAGCAAAAACCATTGTCTTGTTTTCAGAAATAATAAGTCAAAATTAAGTGAGTTTTTCCTTAAACCAAGCTAAATAATCTAAACTACCTGACAAAAGTTTTGTTGCCTATCCAAGTTTTAGGAACACCAAATAATAACTTGACTTCTAGTTGGTCATTTGGTATCAGAAGTGGCTTATATGAAACGCAAAGGCCTTTGGATTACACTTATTTGACCAAAATAAAATCTGATCATGCCCTGATTATTAATGATTTCATTAGTACAGTAAAGTCTAACTCTGCTTTGACAAAAGTCTCATCACTGAACAGAAATAATGTCCAGTATAGAATATAAAGTCCTGCTGCAGTGGAGACAGAATGAATATTGTGTCTGACTCCATCATGAGCTTGGAGGACTGCATCCATACATCTCTGCACTGACTCTGTGTTTTTCTGTCATTTGGAAATGACACTAGCCTATATTTTCACTTTGTCACAGTTATTAAATCAGTGTGTCAGTGGCACAGTACAGGGTACGTGTGTGTGTCAAACATTTTGGTGAATTACATTTGTTTGGGCTGGTTATGTATTTGAAATAAAGAGAAAATGTTGACTTTAGCGATGACGAGGCTTCATTTAAACTGCAGAAGATGCCGTCTGACACCGAGGGGAAAACGCCTCACAGCAGCTGTTTTCCATCCTATTAGATCGCATTTCTGTAAATGATCAGTCCAGGAGATGGTGCTGACGGACAACAGTATTAGTTCAAAGAGGATAAAAGCCGGTAAAATAGATTAAAACTATCATTTCAGAGCTGTCCAAATGTGACTGTTTACACGCATCAGCTGCCGACCGGAAGTTCTTCGCATTCTCCTTGCGCATACACGCAAAGCATAATGGGTAATTTTGCGTTCCAAGAAAAAGGTCTATATAAAGGATTATAATTACTGGTCAATTATAATCCTGACTCAAAATTGACTATCCTGCAATGTAAATATGGCAGATACACATATGTAGATGCTGAAATTATGTATTGTGCAACCCTGTATAAGTGTGTGTGTGTACTTCTATCCAAGAGGGGACTTAAACCTGAATGCACACAGACTCATGGAGACTTAAGTCATTGCGGGGATCAAAATTAAGATTGGTCCTTAGCATACTTATAAATCACACAGAATGAAGTATTTAAGTATACAAATGCAGATTATTTCCTGTGAGGGTGGATTTCAGGGGAAGAGAATATCCGGTTTGTACAGCAGAAACATCATTACGTCGATGAGAGTCCCCATTAGGATATAAAAACAAGTGTGTCAAGACTTACTCAGATGTAGGTAAGGGGTCCTCCAGGAAATAGGGGTCCTGCAGTGCCTGTTCAGACGTGATTCTTTTGGTGGGGTCCATAGTCAGCAACTTCTGCAGCTGGATGAGATGAACACACATCACACTGATTACTCTGAATGGTGATTGGTCAACTTGTTGGTGTCCATAGTAGGGTGTTCCAGCTGTTCATAAGATCCTGCTTAAACTGGAATATAAGGGCGTACTCACACTATGCTATCCGAACCGTGCGCAGGTCTGTTTCCCGGATCGTTTGAGAAGTGTGAGTGCTCTGAATCGGGCTCAGGCACTGTTCACTTGGCCAGCCCTGGCCCTGTTGGAAGAGGTGTGTCAGAGCGCGGTTCACTTGGGCGCTCAGTGTGTGAGTGCAAAACACGCCTGAGCCAGAAACTCAAGAGGAGATGTGACTTTTAGGTGGCTGTTTGATATGGATTTATTAATCATTCTTTTTAATGAAAGCAAACTGTCATAGATTATTAAAAGACGCAAACCCCTCACTGCACCACAGCTGCACCTTCAGCAAACCTCCTAATTCCTGCAGCACGAGGGCTTTATTATTGTTTATGAGCGTCAAAAGTGGCTGATCTGTACGGCGAAATGTTTGACTGCGTGTCACTGCATCCCAAACGACCTAAATGATATAAAGAAATGTCCACTGTTCTGAGCGAGAGCGCTTACTGAACAGCACATCAATGATGACGTAAGCGGGCCCAGGGCCGAATGTAATGTGAGTGCGGGCCGTCGGGGGAGACGGGAGGGGGGACAAGCGTGCTTCAGCCTGGTTCAAGGCAACTGTACATAGTGTGAGTACGCCCTAAAGAGGACATAAAGTCCACACTAGAGGCTTAGTAATTACTAGCTAGTTTGTAACCATAGATACATGCACTAGATGTCGCATAGGGACCCTGAGCATGCGTCAATAGCGCCGCCATATTTGTACAGGGCTCCCAGGACAAGTGTCATTCAACCTCACTAGTCAAGACAGTATTACTACAGGAAGATGCGGTACTTTAGTGCTGTCTAAGCACTAACAAAGAAAACAAAGGCAGAACATTTCATAGGGAAGATTTAGTTTTTTACATTTTTGTATGTTATGAACTTTTGTGCTAAACTAGTAACGTTTATTAGAGAGAAGTAAGAGAAGTAATGATAATAATACTGCATTTACCATAAGGCGAAGGAGCACCAACTCGCACTAAACACTCGGCTTATGCTAGTTTTGTTGAATAAAATCAGCAAACAATGCAAAAGAAATATGACAACGAGATGCTGCGCTGCCAGAAACTTGTATTATTGTCGGCTAAGTGTAGTCGTTTATAACAGGGATACATTCACAAACAAATCGCTCCCTCCGTCACTATGAGAAGTGAAAGCAGGAGAGGAGGTGTGTTTTAAGACACGTATTAGATCAAATTCAACAGGGAGGTGAATAGTACATTTCTATACACACAAACACAAGCTTTTTGTCAGGAATGACCGTGCGATCACTGATCCATCAATGTAGAAAAGTGATGTAAAATTCTAATTTTCGTGATTAAAAAAAAAATTTGCATACTGACCTCCGGGAAAACTCCTGATCATAGATATACGTGTATATGTGTATATCTCTGGCTTTAGATGGCCACAATCCTCCACTGCAGCTTGGTCCCGCATTCATTTCAAAGGAGCGCTACTCTGTACTAAAATGGCGGCTCTATTGACACATTCCTTCCAATAGACAACAACAGAGCAGGCGACATCTACTGTATATAGCTATGATTTGTAACTAATATTGTACTTCGGTTGCACTACATGTTCTTAAAGGGTCAGTTCACCGAAAATCATCATTTACTCAACCTTCAGTTCAAAACTCAAGCCATTTTATCTGTTGATTGCAAAATAAGTCCGTTTGAAAAATGTTGGAAACCGGCAACCATAGACCTCCATAGTGTTTTTGTCTCCTTCTATGCAAGTCAATGGTAAGTAGACAGCGAGTGAAGTTTCATTTTTAGCTGAACTATAATCTCTATAAGCCTGAAAGCAGGCTGTAAGCTCTGTATAAGGCGGTGGTTCTCAATTCCAGTCCCTGGGCCACCCCTGCCCTGCACATTTTGTGTGTCTTCCTTATTTAACACACTTGATTCAGATCATCAGCATGTGAACTGAGAGATCCATGAACTGATTCTTGTGTGTCAAGTAAGAGAGACGTGCAGAATGTGCAGGGATGAGCATCTGAGGACCAGAATCCAGAACCGCTGGTATAAGGTAATGCGTAGTTGCATTGAATGACATAACCAATCAGAATCCTTCAAATTGTTAAAGGGAAAAGTAGCCTGAAATATGCGTGAAATTAATGTGAAGTTATCCAAATCATAACACTAAACTTGAAATCGGCACTGGTAGTGCTGTCGCGTCACTGCAAGAAGGTCGCTAGTTCGAGCCTCGGCTGGGTCAGTTGGCGTTTCTGTGTGGAGTTTGCATGTTCTCCCTGCATTCGCGTGGGTTTCCTGCTCCAGTTTCTCCGGTCCAAAGACATGCGGTACAGGTGAATTGGGTAGGCTAAATTGTCCGTAGTGAATGAGTGTGTGTGTGGATGTTTCCCAGAGATGGGTTGCGGCTGAAAGGGCATCATTCATTCATTTTCTTGTCGGCTTAGTCCCTTTATTAATCCGGGGTCGCCACAGCGGAATGACCTATCCAGCAAGTTTTTACGCAGCGGATGCCCTTCCAGCTACAACCCATCTCTGGGAAACATCCACACACATATTCACACACACACTCATACACTACGAACAATTTAGCCTACCTAATTCACCTGTACCACATGTCTTTGGACTGTGGGGGAAACCAGGCACCCGGAGGAAACCCACACGAAGGCAGGGAGAACATGCAAACTCCACACAGAAACGCCAACTGAGCCGAGGTTCAAACCAGCAACCTTCTTGCTGTGAGGCGACAGCACTACCTACTGCGCCACTGCCTCGCCCTGAAAGGGTATCTGCTGCGTAAAAACGTGCTGGAAAAATTGGTGGTTCATTCCACCGTGGCGACCCTGGATTAATGAGGGGACTAAGCCAAAAAGAAAATGAATGAATGAATAAACTTGATCTCATGTTAATAGTAGCCCGCAGATGAACAGGCAAATAAACAGGAAGAACAATTCAGACATGAAGGAATTCTCACTTCAATTGAGCGATACAAAACAAAACAGAACACTCCTTAAAACGAACCTTGTCTGTCACAAACCAGAATGAATGAAGGTGAGATTTGGCAGGACATCAAAAACTAAATCAAATCAAAACACTGAGCAGAGGGAGATGACAGATGAGAACATGTGCTTCCTCAGTATCAACCCGGAGCTCCTCAATGTAGACTAATCTGCTGTCGCCTCTTTCTACTGTTTGTCATGGGTGGGGAGGCTGCTGTAAATATGTTTCTGGAACTCAGAGATATGACTAAACCAAGTTCAGTGGTGCACCAAAAAATATTTCGTAGTAGCTGTAACTTAGGCCCAATCTCAATTCTACCCCTTATCCCTTCCCTTCCCTTTTGTGTGTTCTCGTGAAGGGGTAGGGCTGTCCCAATTATAGTTAATTTGAAAGTGTAGGGCTAAGGGGAAGGGGTGAATAGCCCTTCGAATGGAGATTTTTTAGGACCACACTCAAAAACAAGAGGTAAGAAAATTTCCCAGAATACACCAGCCACAACGGCAGGATAGCTCCACCCGGAAGTAAGAAGATCAACAAATTAGTATTTTTTTGTCATTATTACGAATTATTTATTCATTCATTCATTTTCTTGTCGGCTTAGTCCCTTTATTAATCTGGAATCGCCACAGCGGAATGAACCACCAACCTATCCAGCTCATTTTTACACAGCGGATGCCCTTCCAGCTACAACCCATCTCTGGGAAACATCCACACACACTCATACACTACGGACAATTTAGCCTACCCAATTCACCTGTACTGCATGTCTTTGGTTTGTGGTGGAAACCGGAGCACTCGTAAGAAACCCACGCGAATGCAGGGAGAACATGCAAACTCCACACAGAATGGCCAACTGAGCCGAGGATCGAACCAGCAACCCAGCGACCTTCTTGCTGTGAGGCGACAGCACTACCTACTGCGCCACTGCCTCGCCAATTACGAATTTTTACAACAAACAAACACGTTTGCATGTTCTCTCTGTATTTGCGTCGGTTTCCTCCAGGTGCTTCTGTTTCCCCAACAAGACATGCTGTATAGGTGAATTGGGTAGGCTAAATTGTCAGTAGTGTGTGTGTGGGAATGAGTGTGTATGGATGTTTCCGAGTGATGGGTTGCAGCTGGAAGGGTCTCCGCTGCGTAAAACATGTTAAATAAGTTGGTGGTTCATTCCGCTGTGGCGACCCTGGATTAATAAAGGGACTAAGCTGAAAAGAAAATGGATAAATAATCCTGGCCTAAGATGGTTTGCTCACTTCAATATCTTATTTATTAGGGCAAAGTTGACCTTTCAACAAACAATCAGATACAGTGAAAGCATGAAAAGACTCACCAGTAGAAACACTTTGCTGTCTGGTTTGACCTTATGCTTCTCCATGTATTTGATGAGACTGCTGTTGGCATATCTGAAAAACACAACAGAAACGTCACTATATGATACGTTTCTGCACGCTCGGTCATCAAAACTATGGCTGCATCTGAAACCGCATACTTGCGTACTATATAGTACGCTAAAATCAGTATGCGAGCCGAGTAGTACGTCCGAATTCATAGAATTCGAAAAACAGTATGCGAAAAGTACCCGAATGACTTACTACTTCCGGCGAGATTCTGGAGTGCGCATCCCATGCATGCTGCGCTATCCCATGATGCCCCGCGAGCGAATTCATGAATGGGAGTAAAGCGACGCAAATTACGCAGGTATGTCACGTGACTATGTCAAAATGGCGGATGTAGTAAGTCCGAAATCCATTCATACTTTTTTACAAAAATGATACTGTATAGAACGTATTTTTCTAACGGCCGAGTAGTACGATTAAATTCAAATGGAGTACATACTCAGGGCCGGAGCAAGCTGAACTGCTGCTCCAGGCAAAGGACGGTCACGCTGCCCTCAACCCTAAAGTGAAAGTCGCCCTCTCTATTCTGCCACCCTAGACGCGGATATAACTGAGGGCGCGGGTGGTGAGGGTAGTGTCGCGGACATCGCCCTCTCTATTCTGTCGTCCTAGACGCGCTCACTATTCTGCCTTTCTAGACGCGGATATAACTGAGGGCGCGGGTGGTGAGGGTAGTGACGCGGACATCGCCCTCTCTATTCTGCCGTCCTAGACGCGCTCACTATTCTGCCGTCCTAGACGCGGATATAACTGAGGGCGCGGGTGGTGAGGGTAGTGACGCGGACATCGCCCTCTCTATTCTGCCGTCCTAGACGCGCTCACTATTCTGCCGTCCCAGACGCAGATATAACTAAGGGCGCGAGAGGTGAGGGTAGTGTCAGGGACGCCGCCCTCTCTATTCTGCCACCCTAGGCAGCCGCCTAGGTCGCCTCTATGGACGCGCCGGCCCTGTACCTACTGAGTAGTAGGCTGTTTCGGACACAGCCTATGAGTGTCGCCTTAAACCTGTGATGTAAAGTTACAACCTACAAAAACTCAGACTCCTGTAGTTGAGTAGTTTTTCTCAGGAATTGTAATTCACTAAGTAGTGTACTTTTACTTACCCTTGAATACATTTTTAGCAGTGTTGGGCAATAACACGTTACTAGTAATGCGCTACTATAATGCATTACGGTTACGCATTACTTTTGACAGTAACTAATACAACGCATTACTTTTTAAATATATTAACTCTGTTATCCTTACAATATAATGCTTTTGTCCGTTACTGGGTAGGTTAATTAATTTTGGCTGCAGTCTAGCTGACATGCAATCTTCCTGTTTACAGGAACTCATTGTGTGATTGGTGGATGCCAACCAACCACTTTAAAGAAGCACCAAGTGTGCGTGCGAGAAACCAGAAGCCTCATGTACAAAGACTTGCGTTGAAATAATACTAAACATCGCATACGGACAAAGCTGTAAACGTGCGTACACAGTAAAAAATTCAGATGTATGAAACACTGCGTACGCCGAATCCCACACATATTCTCTTTGTACATTTTTGTACAATTAACGTTAAACTGAGCGCACGTGCACGAGCGCAAAACCCTCCCGGCCTCCAACCCTATATAAATATGGTAATGACTCCACTTTGGCAAAACCAAACGAAAAAGCAATGACAACCCTGCTGAAAAAAACAGCTTAAACCAGCCTAGGCTGGTTGAAGGGATTTATTTCAGC